GGTTTAAAGAGCTAAAAATGTAAGTCTTAAAAAATAGCGTCTGATGGTTTACAGTGCAGCTCAGAACAGATGTTGGAGCTTTTTTGAGAATAAAATCTTTTTCAGGAGTTATTCAGTGTTTGAGCTAATGCTTCTGTGGAAGATATTAGTTCAAGAATTTATTAAAGCAAAAAGGAAATCACGTGAATTTAGCCTTAATGTAACTTTTGGATCTGATCAAGTCTATTATTTTCAAGTCCATTGGTATTTTTAGGCATTTATTTATCTGCTTTTTTAAGGGGCCTCAACTCTGCCTCTGCTTTCACAGCTGGAAATAATTGTGGGAATCATCTGAAGGGTGAAAATACCATATATGTGTGTAATAATATAAATATATGGTGTCTCACGGGAATTTTTATATTCAGACTCCATATGTAGAGGGCCATTTCTGGTATGAGGAACATCACATAGAAAATAAATGCAATTCCCTGAATGCCATATAAACATGAGGGTTTGAGGTTTGCATGAACTCCTCTCTCCCGTGGAAGCCATGGGAGCCCTGTTGTAGCAAAAGCTCTGACAGCTGCTGAATCAACCTGGCATTGTTAAGATCTACTTGGAATCTGTTAAAAACACTAGTGGCTGTCTGCAGCTCTCTTTGTACACGTTTCCAGTGTTACTACCATTAAGGGACTTTTGTGGAAAAAAACCCAACTCTGTAGATAGAATAAAAAATAAAAAACATTGAAAGAAAACGTATCTGGTTGGACAAGTTCCCCAAATGACTCGCAGGCTTCTGGCATGCTCTGGTTTGGTTGTATCTCCTCAGTATGATCAACTTTTGAACAGTGTATTCTCTTCTTCCTGAATTTACTTGCCTTCCAAGGAAATTAAATGAGAGAATTGTGAGTATGTGACCACTTGGTCTTGGCTCTTCAAGACTGAGGTACCTGTATGGTAGTACTTGATTGCTCTAAATGCATCTTGTCATCTGGAAACATTAAACTTCTGTCTGGGAGGATATTTGAAGTAATTTTTCTACACAGGCATTTTTCTTGTCAAGTGGGATATTGAAATTGCTTCACAGTTCTGTTTGAAGAGTTAAAATTCCTCTCCCATACAGGATCCCCCGTTTTTCCTTTCTTGATGAAAATCCACATGTACCTAAGATTAGTCACAGACAAAGACTATGAGGGTTACTCAGGCACGACAACATAAGATAGAGAAATGTTTTTGTGCTGCTTGTGCAGCAATAACTAATTCAGCAAATGCACTGGAAAAGCACCTGCCAAATTAGTGGGTGTATTAAACTTGAGTCAAGCTGAGCTAAAACATCCCCTGAATCCAAATCTCCTTTGTTTTGGAGCAAGGTAATGGGGAAACACAGAAAGGGATTGTGCGTTCTCAGTTGATCATGTAACAGCAGATGGTTAAAAGGAGCCTCTCGGATGCTCTTAAGGCAGCATATTCCTGTTAAGTGATTATTTGGATTATTAATGTCCCACTGTAGCACCTAGTGATGATCTGAAAGCAGCTTTATGGGCTGTGACTTTTGTGGTGATGAGCACTAGAGACTCGTGGAATTAATAATGTTTTAATTGTTATTGCTTGAACATTGATTAATTTTTGTGTAAGGACTTTTAAGGGATTCTGTCATCGAGCTTGGCTGGTTTGTTGGTATGAACCTGAATCTCAGGGCTAAACTGCTCTGTTCCTGTCAGCCCTTGGTGTGGTGAATCCTTTGTGCCTCAGTTTCCTTTTTTTTTCCTTTTTATGTGAAACTTGCCTGTTCTTTTGTAAATGTTTGCTTTGAAAGGGTGTGGGCAGAGATCACACTATCTTAATTGTATTGTTTGTATATAATACTACACAGTGACTGCACAGGACTGAGTCAGTGGCCTCCAGCCAGGCGGAGGTTTGCAAAGGGTGTGAGAGGATTCACTGAGTGGGAACTGGGTGCCCTGTGGTGCTGGCTCTGCTTGGAAATCCTAGCCGAAATCATTTGCAGCTTAATCACACATGGAAAGAGTCTTCAGTTTCCCAGGGGAGTTTTATTCATTCATGTTTGCTGCTAGTAGAGTTCATATTACAGTGGGGAAACCACAATTCCTGACCTCTGAGTTGAATACATGTGTTTAAAAATAGAGATGGGACAGTAGAAAGAAGAATAAATAGATTTCACTCTAAGGGCTTGCTCAAACCAAATCTATGTGCTGCAAAATATTGCTTCAAACTTTGAGAAATGATTGAATCAAATTGTTTTTCAGGGACTTGTGTTAAAAAAAAAGAAATTGTAGTTCTTTTAATGACAGACAGTTGTAGGTAATTCTGCATTTTTCATCTTCGCCTAAGCAAACAAGACTTATCTTGAAGCAGCAGCAGGTTATTTTCAGATTTACTTTAACGGAGAGCTGTTCATGATAAATGGCTTCTAGAAGGCTCACAGCCCCATCATTGCAACAGAACTGATAGAGGAGTACAGCAAAATAAATATTTACAGGGGGTGTTTATTTTGGGTGGAGGTTGGATGTGTAATATTTGAGTTGTTTTAGTTGTAGTAAGCCTGAAATGAACTGAGGAAGTATGAAATGTTACGTAAGAAAAAAAAAAAAAAAGATCTGTAGCTAGTTTATTCACTGTCTATGGTAAAGAGAACAGACCTCTACAAACGTTTTATTAACAGCATATAACAGGTGCTGTGTCGTGTGTGTTGAGAAGTTTGCTGAGGTTTGGGGTTTTGGGGGGGTTGATTTTTGTTTATATATTGGATGCTATTGAACAGTGAGGGATTTGAGTTATGAGTTCAGCAAAGGGCCACCAAGATGGGCTGTGGGCTGGCATGCAGGTGCTGTGGTGGAGGCTGAGGGACCTGGGATGGCTCATCCCGGAGCAGAGCCTTGGGGGACCAAACAGCAGCCTCCTCTGCCTGGGAGGTGCTTACCAAGAAGGCAGAGGCAGACCCTTCACCAGGGCACGCGGTTGGAGGGTGAGAAGCAACAGGCATGAGTTGAAACAAGAGATTCATGTGGGTGTAAGGAAGAACCACCATGAAGGCAGGTGAGAGGGTTGCCCACAGAGGCTGTGCAGCCTTGGAGAGCTTCAGGACCTTACTGGGTAAAGTACTGAGCAATCTGGTCTGAGTTTATAGCAGTTCCTACTCTCAGCAGGAAGTTGGATTAGAAGTCTTTTCAAGTTTCTTCTGAACTCAGTTTTCCAATGATCCTGTATATTTGGCACCATATATATTGTATATATGGTGATAGATGGTTGGTTGATTGAAGCAGGGAAGACTGAAGGGATGATGGGAGAAATATTTTTATTGCATGGTCAGTGTCAGTAAGAGGTTTGTGTCATGTACAGCAATACACTTACATGGTTTGGAACTGTGGACAATTTTTATATTAATTTCAGAGGTCCCTGTGAGACCTGACACCCCCACAGCGTTCAGAAATGCTGCATATGAACTTGCCTTAAAAAAACTCATGAAGGAAGCCCCCCTGAGAGCAGCTCACACGGATGTTGTGATCGAAGTTACTCCACAGAAACTTGATGTGTGAGATGTAGCACTCAGAAAACACCGTCCCCATCATCCATTCAAACAAAGAAGCTGAAAGGTCTATGCTGGGTCCATTGGACACGCTCAAAGCCAGAGTGTCCTCCCTTCATCTGCTGAAAATTTAATGCTGTAATTGCTTCTTTGCCTGTAAGCAGCCCAAGCTGGGTGATGATGGTACTATTCAGTTTTAAGGTACCGTAGTATTAATGGAAATCTTTCAACTGTATCAAGTGGATTTCGATCAGACTCGAGCAACAATATGAGATTCCTACTGAAATAAAATAGTGTAGGGATTTAAACTGCAACTGAACAAAGGTTTTGTAGCCCATGGAGTGAGAGAGGGAGGGAAGGGCTGGTCTAAATTAAAGCACATATTCAGCTTTTACTGGAAAATGCACAGCAAATCCCAGTGATTCTCTGATTTGTCTCGTAGCCCCGTGTGTACAGTGCGCACCATTCAGCTGCTCTGCCTGTCAGGCGGGTGGAAGTCTCTCGCCTTTTATTCATGTCCCATTGATGCATCTCTGCAAACCCACAGGCTGTGAGATTATATTTTGCATTTCTGTTTGAGGGGCCAGTGTTTCATCAAACTGGCTGTTGCAGATTCTGATGCAGGCAGAATTGCTCTGAATGTACTTTGTTTTGGATGCTGAACTTCTTGTGATTGAGGCTTTTTAATGGAAAGAGGTATGAATGATTACATATAAATTATTTGAAAACTACAATTTACTTGTCAGCTTTTGATTCATAATGTTGTGATTTGATGTGCAGATAACTTTTCTATAGGTAAGTTTTCTATAGCAGGATAGGAAAATGCCGCATTTCCAAATGATATAAATCATCAATTGCCTTCAGATCTGTGGATTTCTGTGGATTTTTCTGTGGCCTTAAAGAAACAACCTCACCTAACCTAACTTTTTTCCTCTACCTTTCCACTCAGAAATCAGTCCCCCACCCCATTAGCTGCAGATCTGACAATTTCCACAGGGGAGCCTTTTCTCAGTACAGTTCAGGGCTTATCCACAGGTGTTTTCCCAGTAACTGACCATGATACTGATGGCAGAAAATGAGTCTCATTCATAGTATTTAATATAGTCAGTATTAAAAATGTCTTTTGGGGACTCAGTACTGCTGATCTAAAAATGCTTCATCTGAATAGGCTTATTAAAATCAATAGGGGTCTTCCCACACTTAACCTGAATTATTTGTCTAGTTCCTCATAAAATGGTGGGAAGTTGTGTCTCCAAATCGCTGGATGAAGGCTGTTGAAGATGCCACTGTTAGGAAATTGCTGTCTACTTAAAAAGATGCTACTGATGTTTGCTCTGAGAGCCTTTACTGATGACAGACAAAATAAATCCAGGAAAAGCATAACTTGACAAAGGAACATTCTGCCTTTATGTTTTACTATGTCTTTAAAAGGCCTTTTGGTGTAGATTTACTACAGTTTTTCCCTGTTTTACAGATACTGTGAACAAGGACCCTGAACCCAAAGATCCATATCCCATTCCAAGAAAGATTATGGCTGAACCAGACTACATAGACGATGACAATCCTGAGTTAATTAGACCTCAGAAATTAATTAATCCTGTGAAGTCATCCCGGAATCATCAAGAACTCCATAGAGAACTGCTTATGAATCAGAAAAGGTAAGAGTCTAAAAATCACTTTTGCCACCCTCTCACCTGAAAGACACAGCTGGAGTTTTAGTTTCTTCAAAATGGCTTTGTACTTAAAACCCAGCAGACAATTTTTGTTGATTCAGATCTTGTAAATTAAAAGACTCCGATTCTTAACCGTAGCATTTATTTCTGTTTGAATTTCAGTTTCTCTGCAAACGCTTGCTGCAGAAGTCTTCTCATTTTGTCTTTGTGAATATTCACAGGGTCAGTTTTGGGAGGAAAGAGTTCAGTTCTCCCAGTCACGTTTCATGTAGGGTACCTGGGCACTGTAATTTGACTTTCACTCTTTATCAAGTATTTGACAAAATTTTGCAGTTAACAGCAGGATGATAAAATCTGTGGGTTTTCACCATTCCCAGCACACTGAGTTTAAGAGGCCACTTTTAAATCAAAGAAATCATATAGTTTCTTTCACATGAAACTGTTCTCTGTTTGCTTGCTCTGACTCCCAGTGCAGTGTCATGGTCTGGTGCCTGCTCTGCTGCTGCACAAGTGTTTCTTTGTGTGTTGCACAAATGCTGCCTCCTTCCTTCTGGGGTGGGATGCACAGCTGTTTCTCTATATATTGCTTTTAAAGATGTAAATAACAGTAACTTTATTTCATCAGTTTCAGAGACATGAGCACCTGGCCCAGAAATAGCTGAAGTTCTGTTACTAAATCTCTGCAGCAACAGAGAACTCATTTAGAAAACACATGGTGGAGGAAAAGCCACCAAGCCTGTTGATGCTCCTTCATTCAAACCAACAGAAAATTATGATATAAATCAGTGATTTGCTGCATTTAAGCCACCCAAAATAGACTTTCCAAAGTCTAGATTTGGGGATCTATAAAACAGAAGTGGTAAAACGGTATTTCAGAGTTCATTTGAGAGTAAAATTGGAGGTAGCAGCCATTCAGGCTTTTTGAGACTCAGGACCTTGACAAAAGAGAGTAGAAAGCTGTGGTTTTGGCTACTCCAGCACAACTAGATTTGTCTGTTTGGTAGGAAGAGTCACAATATGGAAGTTTCTCCTTTTTTTTCTTATTTTCCTAATCCTTTGGCAGTATAGTATTTTGAGGGGAGAAGAGGTCTTTTTATGTGTAATAGCAAAATCCTCACAAATGCTGGGCTTAGAGACTTAATTCTAAATGAATTGCACACACAATATAGCATTTCTTTAGTGATGAAGTAGTAGAGATGTTTTAAGAATGCCAACTGAATTGGAAGAAACTGGCCTAAATAGGTGTTTGTCCTATTTTTCGTTAATGGGATTAAACATCAAAGTCAGTTTCTAGCACCAAGAAGTTTATAGTCATTGAAAGAAAAATAGTTGAAGTTTCCCGACTTATGATCTTAATCTAAAGGATGTGGAGGCTGCAATAAATTAAGACTATTTTTTTTCTTTTAAGTTTATGAAAGCATAAAGCACTTTTAAATTGTATGGAGTTCTTTTCTTCAAGGAGAATATCCTATTACACAGCGAAGTTGTGCAGCCCTCAGTACCCACTCTTCCCTTATTGTGATTTTGATTAGCTGCAGCTGTTAATTTTAGAGTCTTATTTATTGGTGCAGAAATTAAATACTTTGAGGGTTTTCACCAGCAGAAAAAATGGTACTTTTTAGAAGAGAGTTGTGCCACTGCACTAGCCCTGTTAGGAGGGTTTTCAGTAATGTAGGTATTAGGCTTGTGTTCTGCTTCATTACAGCAAACTGTCATATGAATGGAGAACTTCTAGTGCTCTTTTAGAAGTCTGCTCAACGTGCTGCTTGTTTTATTGTGGAGGCTCAGTGTAGACACCAGCAGCTTCACTTTTCTGACCAGTGAGCTCTGAACAGCCAGAAATGGGTGTTGGAAGATATTAGCCAGCACTGGTCTGATCATTCTCCGTACTCACTCTGAGCAGTGTCTGTTGGGCTTTGAACTGGTGTAGCTATTTACTTGCAGAAATGGAGGTTGTTTTGGGCAAGCAAAGGTTCACGTAGTGCTACCTCAAGGCACTGGTCACTTATCTTAAACTATTTTTACTTACTAGGAGTCAACCTCAGCTCTGCAGAATATTGATCCTGTCCTTTCCAGAGATTTTTAACCCTATCATTTCTAACCAGTGTTGTAGCACACTTTGCTTCCTCTATATCAAAACTTTAGGATTTTTAATTTAACCAGAATGATCACTAGGAGGTGATACACGACCCCACTTAATGCAGTACCTGCCAGTTGGTTGCTTTTCCTTTTTACATAAGAGACTGAAAATAGGATTGACATTACAGTTCTGTTACAGATGTGACTGGCAACCCCATCTGATTAGACTGAGGGGTTGCATTTACTTCTGCCTTCTGCAGGTCCCCTTTGTTACAGCTGCAGCACATCTAAATCAGTCTCGTGTCTCTGCTTTGTTATGGTGCAACCTGACTGGAAAAAGCAGGAACAAGTAATGTTACTTAGCAGCTGGACTCTGGTTTGTGGCTGTGTTGATTACTGATTACTCGTGTGGAATATTCCACTGATTCTGCTCTCACTGATCCAGTAGTAGTAGTACTAGTAGTAAAAAAAGAAAAAAAAAAGAAAATTACTCCAACTTGTCCTGCCTGACTTCAGTTTTATGTGTTAAAATATATTTAAAGTAGCATGAAACATAAAATATGAACACGATCTTGTAGCTTCTGTTGCATTTGAGGCCATGAGATCTATTATGAGAAATAGGGAACAGCATTTGGTGTTGCTAAATATTTGATTTTTCTGTCAGGGTATGTGCAGGGATAGAGTGTTGCATAATAGATGGAGTCATTCCTAGATGCTACCATAAAATGGCATTTTAATGTTTTATTGGACATGCTGTCAGATATGCATATTAATGAATAATTAGGCAACCACAGTTGTATAGAAAGTAGGGAAGGGTAAAAATATGCTTTCTGAAAGCTTATTCAGATTATTGAATTTCTTCAAGTTGAAATAAAAAATGGTTGATGTTCAACTTAATGCTGGATACTTTCACATAATCATCTTCACAGGGGAGATGACAATAACAAAGACAGATTTGGGATCTCTCTGCTCTGCCTTAAGTGACGCTAATACCTGAATAACAGGGAGAGATTTGAATCTAATCATAACAAATTCTGAAACCACCATAGCATAACAGAGATAAAAGAAATAACTGAAGTCACAGAAATGAGTAGGAGTGAGTATCCATGAGCATGCCTGTATAAATAACGTCATGCATCTTCCCTAAGAGGGAGCTTTCTCATTCCGGAGTAACTGGCTTGGAAAGCAATTTGTGCTGAACAGACTTGAAACATTCAGTTGATGTAGTACCCAAAGGCTTGTGAGAGGGAGAATCCTCCAGGCTTTGTCTGGTCTCCAAGGTGACGGCAACTTTTTTATTCTAGATTTTTGTTGTCTTAGGCTCTTTGTGATGTTGAGTGCAGCCTGGGAGCTCTCACTGGAAATAGCTTCACAGCCAAGCATGGGTAAAGCTGTCACATTTTCAAGGAAAGGAGAGAGTCCACAATTTCCAGGAGCAGTGTGACAGGCCACTTTTTAGTTTTGTCCATGCAAAATTCTATGGGTAGAATACCCTGCACAGGACTGCCTAAACAAAATCATTCTGAGTTATCAGCCAACAAGGGAATTTCTCTTGTCCAAAATTTGGTTTTAGCTCTGCTAGCGTAGTGATTTGTGATTTATTTATTTTTTTTAATCCATTCTTTTGGAAGTGAGAGAATAGGGTGAGAACTAAAGATGAAAGTTAAAATAATGAATTATACAGGAGAAATACTATCATGCATGCTAAATATCCACAGTGGGTTATATGGCTTAAATCCTAGTTTAGGGTTTTGGTTAGAAACTAGGCAAATGTCTGCATGGTTTTTTCTCCTTTTAATTCATTATTTATATCCTGATGTATCTAAATAGGCAACTGCTTCAGTTTAGAAAACCTGCCTGCAATTCTGTGAGAATTTCTGCTACTTAAAACTGATCTTTCTTCTCTCCCTCGTTTAATTTGAAGGGGTCTTGCACCTCAGAACAAACCGGAGCTACAGAAGGTGATGGAGAAAAGGAAACGAGATCAAGTTATTAAACAACAAAAAGAAAAGGAAGCACAAAAGAAATCAGACCTGGAAATAGAGCTACTGAAACGACAGCAGAAACTGGAGCAGGTAAGAGGGGGAGTAACACTACCTGTACACATCTGCATCTGAGCTAACTCACCTGAGGCTCCCTTTGCAGACAGGAAAGAAGCAGCAGCCAATTTTTGGCATATTTCCTCTGATCACAGCAGATATCTCTTTTAGGATGAGATATCACACTCTGTAACTACCCATTTTTTGTCACTTGCTGTGTAGGAACTGCATATGGGGTCTGCCTTTGGTCAAATAAATCCTGCACCAACCATCAGGAATGTTCGTGGAGCACTGACATTACTTAACCATTAAAATGGTAAATTACTCAATTTTTGTAGTCTGTGATCCAACAAGAATGGCTATTAGACTGCAGTGCATCAAAACCACATTTAATGAATTTTAAAAAAACAAATTGATTCTCCTGCATCATACAAGAAACTAGATTACTTTACAAAGATTTTTTTTGTAGTCTTAAAACATGTTAGCCCATTGGTATTTTCAAATGAAGGAAGAGTTCCTCAGACCCTGAGCATGGGGATGATGTGCAGTTGGAGTTCATTGCGGTGAAGCTTTTTGCTAGGCACAGGGCCAGCCAAATGTCTCTGTGCCTCTGAAAACATTTTGTGTACCTACAAGGAAATATCTCTCCAGTGAAACACCTTGTCAGAGAAGTCACTGTGCATTAAGCATTGCGTTTATTTTTAATAAATGAATGCTATAAATGCATTCTTTAAAAGAGTATCTCCTGTTTTTCTCAGTGGAAACCAATTAAGCCAAATAATTACTCTATTAAAAATGACATATAATCCAGTAATTATTTGGGGGTTTGGGTTTTATTATAGGTTGGTGTTTTTTGTTTTAATTAGGCTTAGCAATATTTTTGGGAAAAGTTATTGTATTATTAAGCGTATCATCCTGTCATTTTCCTTATCTACTCTTGAGGGCACAGCTTTGAATGGTTCAGCTTGTGGGAAGGTTTGATTTGAAACTGAGCTATCCGATGTAGATTATGTAGATGAGAAAATTCCATTAGAAGAGGAAAAACCTGCTTATTGCAAACAGTGCCCTGACTTTGGAAACATCATAGGAATGGCATTAATTGACAACATGATTCATGGAGGAACATTGCTGTGATTTATTGAAACAAGGCATGCCCCTTTGCCAGTGAACCAGAGACAAAGGAGAGATTATTTAGGTGAGCTGTACGTGGTCCCCATTCATCAGGGAGACCTTAGTCTGTTTAAAAAAATAAAATAAAAAAAAGGCAGCTCCTTTCAGGCTCTTTTGTTAGTTTTCTAAATGTTTTTTTCTTCCTTTCTGCCAACTTACCTGCCATCCCTGAGGATCATCAAGCAATCCATGTTCTGTGCCACATGCAAGCCTGTGCTCTGTGGGCACTGTACAGCCATGTCTACCCTGCCATGGAAATTCAAAGTGTCTTCATGGGCAGAAGTCCAGCTAGGTTAAAAATGCCAGTAAATGGGCTCTCAAAAATGAACAACTAAGGGCCAAGGAGGATTTTTATTTTTTTTTATTGCTTTTGTGATGGACAAACGAGATACTCCTAAAGAGGCTCAGGTTAGATTCAGTACCGTACCTAAACAATCAGAAATCAGCTCTGTGAGTGTGCTTGTAGTAGCTGTTCACATGTCCTCCCACAAGGCACATTATTCCTTGTTCTGCTGTAAAAGCCAGAGAAGGGAATTATTGTTGTTTCTTTAATGAAGATGTCCAAGAATTTCTTCAAAAATGCTTCATCTTGTTCTCGTGCTGGGCTTGCAGAGTTTTGTCCATCTGGCAAAGGTGGACATCTGGAACATGCTAGAGCCAAGGATTTGAAAAGATTTATTGTTTATGAGAACAGATACTCCCAGAGAAATGCAACTTTATTTTTTCCATGAGACAAAGAAAGGAAGCAGTTTAAAGCATTTGGCATTGTCAGTTGTTGAAACCTTAAATTTTTTGTCTTGTGTTTCAATGATCTGTTTTCTATACTTTTCTCTTTTGTGTGTGATTCCCTTTTAAGCTGGAACTGGAGAAACAAAAGATACAGGAAGAGCAGGAAAATGCGCCTGAATTTGTCAAAGTCAAGGGCAACTTGAGGAGGACGGTCCAGGAAGCAACAGAAGCACCGGATTCCTAGAGCCAGCGCCTGCTAAGACTTCCAGCTTTCCTGCAGAGAGAGGCTTTTGCAAGTTGTCTCACATTTGCCCCTCGAGAGGGAAAATAAGGGCATCCAGCTGACACTTACTGAAGATGAGATTTTTAATTCCTGGGACGTGTGGATTAAAAAGACAGTATCGTAAACAGATCGACTTGCCAAATACAGTCCTGAGATCAATGGATAAGGAGTGTCTTTGTCAGTTCAGTGTCATGGACCAGGCTGACGTGCTTACTCAGAGATTTTAACCAGGGATACTAGAGAAACTCCTTCAGTGTTGCACTGCTTTAACTCTTGTGATCCTAGTTGAGTGGAGATACACAGATTTATATTTTGCTTTAAAACAGAACAAAAATCCTCCTGTGATATCTTATGAAGCTTTGCTGTGCAGGTAGATTTCCTCCATCTAGACCTACAGCCTGTGCATATCCCAGAAAAAATTGTGTTGGAATTTTTAGCAAATCTAGGAGGATATGTTGATCACTGCTGCCCATCCCCACTAGGATAGGCAGGTGTGGGCAAGATGAAAATGCTTAAAATTCACCAGCAGTGAAAAGTTAAGCAGCCTTAAAGCCCATTTCTTGCTGTTTGGCATGTAGAATTTGGGCTATGAAAGAGCAGAAATCTGATGATCTTTTCACCAGGGAGACTCCAGAAACTGATGTATCTCTGCCTGTAACTTACACTGTTGTGAACAGGGCTGTGCAGTGCTACCTGTGAATTTACCTCTTAAAGCAAAATGACCTGTCTTCTTCTTTCTGTGTTTTGAAATCCTGCTTTCTTTGGTGTTGTGGCCTTTCTCCTCCAAGGACATGCTGAACTGATCACAGTGTTAACACATTACTTGGTAGTTTCAAACTCATTTGCTGGAACTGAAATCAGTTCCTATCTGCCATCAGTTGCTGATCTTTGTTTGCAGGAACATCTTGCAGTTTCTGCAGTAGAGCATTGTCTAAGCCAGACCAAACAGATAATTGGAATATACTGAAATGGAATTTTTTTCCTCAAAGTAAGGCATAAAATGAAACTCATTTTATCCCGCCTTTCCTTTAGCCTCAGGAAGGAAGGGAAATGTGTTACTACTGGATCTTCAGGTCCAATTCTGTCATTTTCTACCTTTCCACAAGTTGCCCCTGTGACTTGCCATTAAATAAAATATTGCTCAGCTTGCACAGGGATGACAGAATCTGATCCTTCATGCTTATGACTACTAGTTATCCAGGAAAGCCTGGGAAGAGGAGTGGGGAACAGATTGCCCATGTAGGATTACAGAATTGGGTTCTTACCTGGTGTGATTGGGTGCAGAAAGATTCTTACCTAGTGTGACTGGGGAGAAATCCTCATCCTCCTTGTTCTGCACAGTCCTAGTTGTCACTGAAGCTGTGTTCATCCATATCAGCTGAGGATCTAATCCCTAGCCTTTGCCTTAGGATGCTAAACACAATAATTTCTACTTTGTAATTACATTGGACATAACTGCTTGAGAACACTTTTTATTAATATCAACAGTGACGTGTTTGTATTGTAAAGGTGGTGGGGGAGGGTTTGTTGGTTTGTTTTCTGAGTTCCTTTTGCTTTTCCTGTAAGTATTGGCCATCTTAAATATAGTTTCAGCCTAGCACTTAGGACAAAATGCTCACAATTAGAAATGTTTCCTAGGTACAGACTTTAATTTGTCAAGATACAGGCATTTTTTTACAACGACATAATCAGATTGAGAGTAAATTGAATTGTGATAAGTGTATTGCCATTGACTTAGACTTACAGTGTGACTCACATCTAGAAGATTAAATGTGAAGATTGTCTAACAGATTGTTCAGATTAGGGACATACAAAAGACAAAGGCCAAACATAGGACTCTTCCATGTATTTTTTCTCAACAAAGGAACACGCTGAATGCTGCAGGTTCTTCACTGTCTCCTTCACTTCTCCTGGCAGGAGAGGATCTTCTTTTCTGGCAGCACATTATTCAAACATTTGCACTGACTGAGTTTGTTTCATGTTGTTGAGACAGCCGTATATAGGAGCCTCCCACACCACGCTCATGCTTTGTGTTAGCCACTCCCAGCCTACCAGGCATCAGCCTCTTGCTTTCAACTCCTTGTTAAACTTCTGCTCCGTATGCAAAAGTCTAGAAGTCAGCGGGGAAATCCTCCTCTGGCTTGAGCAGACCATTCCTTGTCAGCCATTTCCCCTTGGTGAACATGGCACTCCTTCCACACGTGCACAGTGAAATGAAGTCAGTGGCACCGGGGTTGGTGGGGAACAGGGACCTTTTTTTTTGGCTTCAGTGGGTGTGCTGGACTGAGCCCCTCAAGGTTGAGCGCATTCTGCTTTCTCCCCCAGCTAGCTTGAGATTCAGGGTAGAGTTTCTCTTTGTGAAACACAGGAGGCCAGAAAACTCCCTTGTACATAAGGCATGAAGTTGTTTTTTTTTGGTTTTTTCAGTGGAATTAATTCTCCGTGTGAACAGAACATCAGCGTGTGTGTTGAAACATCTTTGAATCCTGCTAACCCTTTAGTCTAGGAACCCCAGCCACCTCCATGTCGTTTTGACAGGCAAAAGCTTGTCTTTGAAGTCAGGATTGGGCAACCCTTGAATGGGGGGCCAGCTAGTCACACCACAAGTGTCCTGTGCGGCTACTCAAGTAAGAAACTGCTTGCCAGTGAGCGTAAGCAATTCCTGCTCTGCCCTTTAGCTATGTGGGTTTTTGAAGCAATCCAGCAAATACTTCAGTGATTTGAAAATTGCTCACTTACCACTTTGTACTTTTTTAAAACTCTTGCTTTTGATAGTATAGTAGTAGATTTTTTAGCATTTTTGTGGCTTTAACCTTCTGTTAATATCTGCACTTGTTTGAGTGTACATATATAAATATATATAAATATAAAAAGGGAGCCTTAATGGATTTGTTTTCATAATTTAATATTTTTTGTATTTGCTCTTGTATAATTGTTTTTAACTAAAGGTATTATGAGAATGAGGGTGGAATACTTAGAACCAAAGTTATGCTTAATAAAATCTACTACATGCTTGGTGTATGTGGTGGTGTCTGTCATATCCTGCTAAAAGCAAAATGTTGGGGTGTATGCTGAGATATCTGGGTTATTTAAAATTCTGCAATGCAGGGGGAAGTATCAAAAACATGATGACTCTTGGTTCCTTAAAAATGGATCCTCGTTTGTATATGCAGAATGATTGGCAAATTAGTTGGCAGGAAGAGCTGGTTGTGTCTCTCAGCAGTATTATATTTTGAATATTTTTGATGCAGACAGTTTTTAACAGGACTGTGTAGGTGCTGTTCAGTTGCACAAGGTGAGGTGGAGCATGAGGGAGAAGTTCAGATGAGAGTCAAATAATTGTGGAAATCATTCACTATCCTTAGAATTGTTAGCATTGCAAAAGCTCCTTTCAGAAAGGCAGTGAGAAGATAGCAGTGAGCCGGGTCCTGGGTTCAAGTCCTACAAAGATTCTTTTAATGTAGCCAATGCTCAAAGCTGTGGTTGTAGTAGGAAGGCCTTGGGCATGTGAAAGAAAGTGCAGGCACAAATGGTTTGCTGGGTTAGGGTCAGATTGCTCAGCATCATTGGTAAGAGCAAAATCCTGTGTCGGTAGCAGGGGTAGGAACAGGGCTGGAAGAAATGTGGGTCATCAGATCTCCACAAAGATCCTCCCTCATACTGGTGAGCCCTGGTCAGCCAGGGACAGGTGGCAACAGAGGGGAAGCTGGAGAGGAGCATAGGATGAAAAGAAGTGGGAGAAGAGAAGAGCAGTGAATTCAGAACAGATGTCAGGAAATGCTTTTTCCTTCAGAAACTGCTCAGCATGTGGAATGGGTCCTGGCAGTACTGCTGATGCAATGATGCTGGACCCACTCCAGGAGCTGTCAAATATGGGGGAGGTAAGAAAGAACAGAGTTAATAGGGGGTGAGTTTCTATGGCCTGTTGGAGATACTGCCCTGTGCTCTCCTTCCTCAAGTGTATCCAAATGTGTTTTGAATTATCCTTTGATATTCGCTCCAGCTCCACAAAGAGAACAGTGAGGGCACGTGATCTGCTTTTGTAGCGTGTCCAGCGGAAAAGATGATCCTCCTTTTGTGTGCTTTTTCTTTGCATTGCATTGAGCTAATAGGTTTTGTCATGTGGCTTTGCAAGTCCTGGTCTGCTGGGGGCTCTGCATGTGCTCCTGTGGCCACATGCAGATGGACTGTGTCATGCCATAGCTATGTGGAAAGAAGCACCTCGAGGTCCTTAGCTGCTGTTACGGGGTCAGTGGGTAGTGTTTGTAACCTAAAATGGCTGGTGGCACTTGTGGTGACCAGTTGCACTTAAGAAAATAACTGGAAACTGAAGAACTCCCATGGTGCAGTTTCCACAGGGTCAGAACTGACGTCTCTAGGGTGAAGAACAGAAGGGCAAGTTGTGTTCTCAAGGCATGGCAATAGGTAGAGCACGGGCCAAATGAGACCTGGAGGAGTGGAAATACAAGACATCCTCGCCCTCCCCCTACCACTTTAAACTGTTTGTGTTCTACTTGGAATATTTCATCTATCAGAGTAAAGGTTTGTGGCACTCTTGTCTATAATAAGGATGGATATTCTTGATGGAGGTGGCAGAAACCACGGCCAGAGGAAGCATTTGATCATGGTGACAGAGCACAGACAGCCTGGCTGCCACCCCAGTGCCTGTGTTCCAAGCCTGTGTTTTGGCACTGCTTCAGACCAAGGTAAGGGCTGCACTGGGTCCATCCCACTGCCTATGGTGCCTCTCTGAGGTTAGTGGGGACTGCTCCTGTTCTGTGGGTACCCAGGGGTCTATTTTGCTGAACCTAAGGTATGTGCATTTGAGCTAATCATCTGCTTTTCACTTACATCAGAGCACAGAAATCAGCCCTGTGGAGCTGGAGCCCACACTCCCCGACTCGGAGGGAACATTGTCAACATTGCAAGGATTCTGAAGCTGGGCAATTCGAAAGCCACCTCAAAAACACCTGCTCATTTTCATGGATTTTTCTCCCTGGCATACATGAGGCACCTGGATACCTTTAGTAAATCTGGACCTTTATCTCTCTGTAGCTCCTTGGCTGATAGAGAGCCCATCTCTCCACTGTGCTCACTGGCTCTGGTGCTTGGAGCCATGGAGCCCTCAGCCCTGGTGCTTGTGGGGACACTTGCAGGGGGTTGGGGAGAAGGGACCTGCCCCAGGCCAAGCACCAGCCACTGGGAGGGGAGGTGGCATCTCCACAGTGGTGTGAGAGAGGGAGGGGATGCAGAGCACCTGAGAGAGGGAGCCAGAATCACCCACTACAGCTGTAGTATTTAATTATCTGAGTAATCACTTTTAGAATTAACTTCTATTATGCACCCAAGTCCAATCTCTCCGGGTGAATGGCATGAGCAATTTAACACAGATTGAGGCTGGCACCCGGAAACTTCAGCCTGATGAGGTGGGAAGGAGAAACGTGCTTCTTTCACCCTCTTCAGCTATTGGGAAACAAAGTTTTCATAATGAAATTGAAATGCCAAGTCTGCTTCGTTGTGCTCAAAAATTAAAGAGCACCCAGCAAGCCTGAACCCCTTTGGTGAAATTCATTTAAGGGATGCATCACTCCATATAGAAAGGCAAAGGGAGCTGAATCCCACCTGCTCTGGAGTCAGGACATGGCAGCCCAGCCCATGGGAAATGGTCTCCCTGAAGGAGGGGTTGTGTCCAACAGGTTACCTGTCCTTTAACTCTTCCTCTGGTAAATCCTAAAAGATTCTCTGATGAAGAGCTGATCAGGAATTTGCTTTCATCAGTAGCAACAGGAAAAGACAGGGACCCTTTAAACTTACATTGTCAAACCCAGAAAGCCCTTCATCACTGTGACCATGGACCATAAGAGGCGATTTCTCCTAAGGTTTGGTTTCAGCACTTGTCTTCATCCAGCTTTGTTTTGGTGCCAATCGCTCAGGTGAATTCTCCTCAGTGCAGGGGACCACCTTCACTTGCTGAGCTCAGCAGCAAAGTGGCTTTTGGGAATTTGCTGAGCACAGTGGGCCCCATACCTCACAATCTGTGGTTTGTTAGGGAAATTTTCCTCTCATTTCTAATACAAATTGAATTAACTTTAAATACCAAGGAGTAAATTCCCTTCAAACACAGATCTTGCATTTTTTTATTGTTTTCCTGAAGCAAGAGAGTTGCTTCTGGTTTATACCAAGAACTCTATTCCCTGATTATTAGGAAATTGTGCTGCTGATAACCAGACTAGAGGTGAACTGCAAACTACCTACAGGCCCCTCTGAGGGTAACCCACTCAATCCTGATGCTGGAAAGCAGGGATTGCTCTCTGGGGAGGAAAAAGGTGGTGCTAAAAGGGAGGAAAAGACAGTGGAAAGGCAAGTGCCTGACTGATGAATGTTTCCACCTCGTAACCAAGGTTAAACAACAACTCTGGGGATGATGCCTGAATCTGTGTTCACATCTAGTGTACCGCGTGTCTTTTTTTCTCCCCCTGAAGCCTCACTGTGCTTTTGATTCCTTTTCTATTGTCTCTTTTCACCCCAAGCTCTTCCTGCCTATTCAGGCCTCCCTGCCCTTGGATTATTTCCCAGGGCAGGTTTGTAATGAAAGGCATTTAATTAGCGAGGAATCCCTGGGATGGATCCTGAAGTGGGTGTTTGAGGCTGACAACTGCAGAGTGAAGGGAAAGTCAGCCCAAGCCCTTGGTCTGTGGGGAGTGGAGAACAGAAATACTGAGTATGCAGGGGGAAGGAGCAGATGGGAATAAAAATTCAGAGTGGGTGTCTGACAGAGCATGAATGAGCAACTAGTGTGGACATATCAAAGTTTTTATCTCGGAGCCTTAATTAAACAGAAGCCTCGTGATGAGAAAAGCCTTATAGGGATGAAAAGGAGGATGGCAAAAGTTTGTTATGTGATTCCTCCTCTCCTGCCTCTGCCCTTGGGAGACCCTACCTGGAGTGCTGCATCCAGCTCTGGGGTCCCCAGAACACGGAAAAACATGGACCTGTTGGAGCGGGTGCAGAAAAGACCACAAGGATGATCAGGGTGCTGGAGCATCTCTCCTATGAAGACAGGCTGAGAGAACTGGAAAAATAGAAGGCTCCAAAGAAACCTCACTGTGGCCTTCCAGTGCTTAAAGGGGTTTTATAAAAATGAGGGAGAGTGACTTTTCATATAGGTAGATTATCACATGATAAGGAGGAAGGGTAAATCAAAGATGAGAGATTTAGGTAGATGTTAGGAAGACGAAGTTCTTTGCTCAGAGGGTGTCAAGGCACCAGAACAGGTTGCACAGAAAAGTTGTGGATGCCCTATTCGTGGAAGAGTTCAAGGCCAGGTTGGATGGGGTCCTGAGCAACTTGGTTTAGTGGGGGGTGTCCCTACCCATGGCAGGGGTTTGGAACGAGGTGATCGTTAAGTTCACTTCCCACCCAGACCATTCTGATTAGCAAGGAGCCTAAAATGCTTCGAAGCAATCCCTGGGTGAGGTCAAAGTGTTCTAATTAAAGCCACAAAAAAAAAGCCCCTTTAAAGGATTTGCAGTGCAGGTATTTGCCTCCTTTCCCCAGCCCGCAGCGAGGGGGGGTTCCAGGGGCGGGTGGGACGCGATGGTCCCCACGGGGCCGAGATGTCCCAGGGATGGTCCCGCAGCCCCGCGCTGAATTCCCACCTGCTGCTGCCCTCTCCTGGGGAAAGCGGAGCAGAGCGGGATGGAGGGGTTACCTTTCCTTCCCGCTCCAAGGGTTTCCTCCTAAAGCACCGCAGCGCTGAGCTCTCTAGACCGGCTGTGTTGTAAACTGGTGCTTTTCTGGAGAAAGGCATTAATAGTTCGCGATTTTTGTTATGCAGATGTCATTAGCGCTTCCGCTGCGCTGAGGCGTCGCTGAGACATCGTGTTAAAAAGCCTTGAGTGTGTTTCAAGATCTCAGTAACTCAGGGGCTGGATTCACAAAGAGATGTTTGGTGTCTCCTGTGTTAAAATGCTCAGTCTGGTTTGCCATGGGGAGCTTGTGATGGCAGTTGTGGAGTCACC